ACAGAGGCCCTGCCTTGGAGGTGGGCTTTCACATGGGCCCTGTTCCTGCCGGCTGAGGTAGTCACACTCTGCCTTGCAGTTTGTGGCAGGTTTAGCGTGAGGGGGTGGGTTTCTGCCTCTCCCTTAATGGCAGCAGACCTCTGCTTGAGTTGGTGCAGGACACAGGGCCCCAAAGCTTTCTTGTCTCTCCATCAGGGGCAGGAGGTTCTGACTTTTGGCCTCGCCTCGCCCCCTAGCATCCATGGACCTTGGCCTGGATCCTGCGGTGAAAGCACCTCACCTTTCCCAGGTGACTGAGGCTTTCCCATCTTTTGACTGGGCGAAAGTGTGCAGCGTTTTGTTTGTTTGTCCTCCAGTGGCAGCCAGTCACCCTCAGCACCCCTGCGTCTCACTCAGGCTCTCTCGTCTCCCACCTGCCCCAACACTTCTTGCATGATAACATGGTTATTAGCAGGCATCTTCAATAAAAAAAAAAAAAAAAAGTAATGAATTATTATAAGTATTGAAAGAAATGAACTTTTAAAACCACAAACACAGCCATCCCGCATGGAGGCTTGTTAAGCAGATATTTGAGTGCTGATTAGTAAGCGGGCTAAAACTTTTCTGAAATCAGTTTTAGGAAGGGGAACACATTGGTCCTGGCTCTGCTGAAGTTGTCAGCACCCTCTAGTGGAAATAAGTTTTTGAAAAATCATTTCCTTAACCCAGATCTACCTTAGATACAGTATCAGTCATCTAAACTTGGCCGTTAGCAAAAAAGAAAATTTTGAGATGGTAATAAACAATGTGGTGTTCATATTAATATATTAAGTAATAGCAAGTGACTTAATGTTATGTTTGTAGTCTTATCCAGAAAAGCAATACAAAAACAAACAAACAAACAAAAAACCCCCCAAGAACAAGGGAAATTCAGACTATCTCTGCTCTGACTGAATTAATACCATAGAAATAATAAAAGAATAATATTCTCAACGCATGCCAAACTTTCACCTGGTGCAGAGCACTGCATGGTCAGCACCAGGATGTCCGCATGGCTTTCCCTGACTCTGCCTGAAAACCCAAACGGGGAATGAGCAAGCTGAAATCTTCTTCAGTATTTCACATTAACTTGGATGAGCATCTCTTTAGTAATAATAATTGTATCATAAATCTCAGTCCAAACTCTGAAATTTTTTAATTAGTAAAATCATATTACTACATATTAAAAATTTAATATTAGAGCTCAGACCTGTTTTCTCAGTGCTTAGAGCGTTGGCCTGTGCCCTGACAGGTTCCAGGTTTGGTTCTGGTCGAGGGCACAGCCTGAGGCCTCTGTCAGGGCTCGTGTGGGAGGCAACCAATCCACGTGTCTCTCTCCCATTGATGATTCTCTCTCTCTCCCTCTTCACAGCCCTCCCTCCCTTGCACTCTCTCTAAAACAATCAAAGGAAAAAAATATCCTCAGGTGAAGATTAGCAAAATAACAGCAAAAACAAAACAAAAACAAAACCCTTATTATAAACTAGAGGCCCGGTGCATGAAATTCGTGCACTGAAGTGTGTGTGTGTGTGTGTGTGTGTGTGTGTGTGTGTGGTGGGCAGGGGTGGGGGGGGGCGTGGGAGTCAGTCCCTCAGCCTGGCCTGTGCCCTTTCGCAATCTGGGACCCCCAGAGGATTGGGCCTAAGCCGGCAGTCAGATATCCTTCTCACTGTCTGGAATCCTTCATTCCTTACCATCTGCCTGCAGCAGAGACTGGAGAAACCACTGTCACTGCCGCTGCACTTGTCCCCTGTGAGCCCTGTTTCTGGCTGTTTCTTAATGCTGCCAGGGAGGGGCTTCTGGCTGAGTGAGGTTCCCCCTGTGGGAGCACCAGGCTTGCTGCTCCTTAGTGCCGCTGCAGAGATAGGAGAGGCTCCCGCCACCACCACTGTGCTCACCAGCAGGGAGCCCGGCTTCTTGCCCAGTAGTGCTCCCCCTGTGGGAGTGCACTGATCACCAGGGGGCAGCTCCTGCACTGAGTGTCTGCCCCCTGGTGGTCATCACCCATCATAGTGACCAGTCATTCCACCATTGGGTCGATTTTCATATTAGAGTTTTATTATATAGGATTGTCACTATCTTCCTTTCTAAATTTTTTCTTTGGTTGATTTAAGGGTCTTACAATTTTATCAGTATAATAGCCCAACTCATTTAATAATCAATTTCTGATTCTCTTAAATTTTATATAGTGTAAGGGCAAAGGTCTTAGTGAAGGTTCTTTTCCCCAGAATTCTTCTCATTTAGCTGTCAATAACTTTAGGACTATTGCTCCAGATACTCATTTTTCCCCCAAAAAGCACAGCTCCTTTCACATAGATATTATTTAAAATAAAAACTAGATTTGTCTGAATATGAATACATATACTAGAAAAGCACTAATCTTGTAAATATTTAAATTACACCTCTCCACCTGCTGAGGATGAAGGAATTTCTGTGTTGCTTGGTGATGAGCTTGTGGTTTCAGTCGTGTAAAGCCTGGAATTAAAGAAGCCAGAAAAGATGAAAAAATTCAAAGAAAAGATTGTAAAGAGGGGACAAAGCAGTGGGAGATAGAACCCACACCCCAGGTATGTGCCCTGACCAGAAATTGAATCCACAACCTTTCCATGTACAGGACATCATTCCAACCAACTGAGCATCTGGCCAGTGCTAGTGGGCTCGTTTTATTACTCTTGGCCTCACATTCTAATTTTTACCCACAGCATTGCCACTAATTTCCTATGTAATTTCAGGTAAAACACTTTAGCTTCAGCTTCCTCTGAGAAATGTAGTCAAATAGATTATTAATGAAGTTCTCAGACAGTCTTAAAGCCCCATCATATTTTCTCAAAACTTCCTAATGACCTCACATGGGTGGTGATATGTAGAGGACAGATGTTTAAGATAGGCTCTTGGTGGCAATTATTGAAGAAATGTCTGGCCTCGATCCACTACCTTTAAACAATGCACAGTATTTCTAAGGAAGGCCAGTACCCTGCCGGGCATTGACTGACGGGGGTGGGAGAAAGGGGATGTCCAGGACACGCTATTTGATTGGCATGTCTAATATTTTTGAAGCTGAGGGAATTTGAGAAATGGCATGTGCAGGAAGGATTTCCTGGCCCTCCCCTCAAGTAGAACACAAAATCTTCACACGGAGGTGCCCTTTTTTCCTTATTTCCAGAGTCGAGGAGGGATGGAGGAGTATGAATAAACAGGCCTTGCCAAGTTTCCTCCAGTTTACAACACTTACCTCGCACCATTTGTCCTACTGTATTCTTCCACAACTTTCCAATGTTCATCAAACCTAGCATAGAAATGCTCAGGTTTACCCATTTCTTTGGTACTTTACTCCTTATGAAGTCTTATGTGTCTCATAAAACCAATGTTAAGTAAATTTGTGTACCTTTCTGTTGTTGACCTCTTTGTCCTAGAGATCCTTGTTGAAAATTTAGACGGGAAGAGAAAAAGATATCCCTTCTCCCTCCAATTCATATGTCACAACTGAACAAGCCATGGGACCTGGGGCCAGTTACTCATAAATTGTATCAACCTTTTGAAAACTGGATCATCCTGATGTAATCTCAAACAGTACAGTACAGCATGTCCTCAATAATAAAATGGGAGCTAATAGGGAAAACACAGCTAAGCATCACATCAAAGTAGGATCCTGAAGTGATTTTATTCCACTAGTTTCAATCAATTCCCATCCCAATTCACTTCCTAACCCTCTGATTAACGAGGAAATAGCAGATACAAAATAGAGGGACAGTAGGTTTAATTTGACAAATTGGGAGAGTCTGAATTAGCTTTGACCCAGGGAAAGAGCTGATGTTTGCAACTCTAAACAAATCCTGACTCCTTTGTGAAGTATCCTTGACAAACACAATCTGATGGAGGTTACCCAAGAGATCATTTTTTTTCCTACAAAACCTTGCTAACTATGCTCAAGGCAAAATTCCAAGATATATTTATCTTCAGCATTCTTCAAATACGTTCTGTCACCTCCTGCTCCCAAGCTCCAATACAAGAAATATGTGAAGTCTGCATAGCCTGTAAAAAGTCTATAAATTAAGGTGCATAATATGTGAAAGCCATTGTGGGGACTACAAAGGCAAGCCATACATAGTGCTACCCAATGGGATGCTTACATTCATTACATAGCAGGGAAAATGGAATGCTTCAATACAGATTAACAAGAACAGTCACTCACTCACACACAAAGCCTTCCTTATCGAAAACATCCTAAATTCTAAAATGATTGCTTTCCCCAGCTCCCGTAGAGCACTGTAACCTGGCTGTCAGAGTGTACTATGAATGCAGATTTAACTAATCCCCTTGGAGAGTATGGACCTTTTGAAAGACTTCTCTTTTAATTGAAACAATCCTCTAATTAGTGAAGTTCATTCAGCACTGAATGGTCACTCTGGACCCTCAGATTAGCAGCTTCCACAACCTGCGCTCCCCTCCCATTCTCCAGAGTTGATGAAATCAAGTGCCTTGGAATTGCAAGTTTTAATGATTCAGATTATTAAGAGAATACAGAAATCACTGGGACGAGGGTGAGGGGGGAAATGAGACAATTTTTAGCGCTTGGGATTGCAAACGTGGGGCGTTGGCGCCTCCTGCTGGTAAGAAACGGGAACGAGCAGGAAAAACAAGCCGGCTGACTTGATCAGCAGCTTCTTGCCTTTCAACGCCTGAAAACCGGGACCCGCCCCTCCTGGAGGCTCTGACCACTCAGCGAGTCCCGCTCCACGTGATTGACAGGGCAACAGCCCGGGTCCCTCTCTTAAATTCGTCCCTCCGGAAACAAGGACCGGGTGTTTTCCGGAAGCTCAGCATCCGCTCTCTCCCAGCATGCTTTGCCTTCCGGCGGAGTTCGGTCCCCTGCGGCCAGTCCCGCCTTGCGCGCCCATTTCGATCCCGGGTTCCCAGCCCGGCTCTCCCGGCGCGGGGCGGCCGGCCCGGCTCGCGCAGGACTGCGGCCTCGGGCGGCGGCCATGGGGGCGGGCGCGGCGCCGCTGGAGGGCTACTACTTCGCGGCGGCCCTGAGCTGCACCTTCCTGGTGTCCTGCCTCCTCTTCTCCGCCTTCAGCCGCGCGCTGCGGGAGCCCTACATGGACGAGGTCTTCCACCTGCCGCAGGCGCAGCGCTACTGCGAGGGCCGCTTCTCCCTCGCGCAGGTGGGGCCCCGCCCCGCCCCGCCCCGGGCGGCCCCGCCGGCCTCTCCCGCCCGGGGCCGCGGCCCTCCCCGCCCTCCCCCGCAGACGGAGAGGCCTGGGCGGTCTCTGTTCCTGTTCCTGGGACCCGTGCCGCGTGTGAAGGGATGCCTGCGCCGCGGGGCCGTCCCCGGGAGCCGTGTAGTGACCGGAGCGGATGCGGAGCCCCGCGGTCCCCGCTTCCTCCGCTCGTCCCGGGAGGAGGCGGGCGGCGCCCGGGAGACGGCGGGAAAGTTCACTTTCTCCGCGTCCGTCCGGCCCCTCCGCGCTGTGGTTTGGGGGCGGGACGGGGGGGACCTGGCTGTGGTTTGGGGAGGGGATTGGGGGACCTGGCTGTGGTTTGGGGAGGGGACAGGGGGGACCTGGCTGTGGTTTGGGGAGGGGATTGGGGGACCTGGCTGTGGTTTGGGGAGGGGACGGGGGGACCTGGCTGTGGTTTGGGGAGGGGACGGGGGGACCTGGCTGTGGTTTGGGGAGGGGACGGGGGGACCTGGCTGTGGTTTGGGGAGGGGACGGGGGGACCTGGCTGTGGTTTGGGGGCGGGACGGGGGGGACCTGGCTGTGGTTTGGGGAGGGGATTGGGGGACCTGGCTGTGGTTTGGGGAGGGGACAGGGGGGACCTGGCTGTGGTTTGGGGAGGGGATTGGGGGACCTGGCTGTGGTTTGGGGAGGGGACGGGGGGACCTGGCTGTGGTTTGGGGAGGGGACGGGGGGACCTGGCTGTGGTTTCGGGAGGGGACGGGGGACCTCGCTGTGGTTTGGGGAGGGAATTGGGGGACCTCGCTGTGGTTTGGGGACGGGACAGGGACAGGGACGGGGCGGGAAGCGGGTGTCTCCAGCCACCAAGAAGTTGCCAGGGACCTTAATTCCATCCTTGGGTGTTTTGGATGGAGACTCTTGTTAACTGAATCAAGTGGCAACCAGTGAAGTGGCATCCTGTTTGACTATATAATTGGCTTTGTGAATGTATAGATAGAGATACAAGCATAAAGCACTGTAGGCCCCCGGAATAACTCCTTTGCTCAAGCTCTTTTCCTGATAACCTGGCTGAGATGTGGTGGGGACTGGACCCCTGTTTGTAGCGGCGGGTTTCCTCACCTGATTCCATTAAAGTCCCAGGACCTGTCACATCTGTGCAGGGAGGACTCACAGGGGGCCTGTGATTCACCCGTGTCTGCTGAGACAATGTGGGGCAATGGTCAGAAATACAAAGTCTAATTAGAAAAAGGCCCTATTTTAAATCCTGGAGTTTACTTACTGGTTATGTGGCCTGGTACATTTCTGAGTTTCAGGTTACTTATCTGAAAACGACAAGTCTGTGGCATGTTGCAGGACTCACTAGGGAGAGTTTAGCACATTACACGTTAGCGTTCATTATGGAGCCCATGGTTTAATCTCTCTAAACGCTTCTTTCCCTCCAAACTCACCAGAGTTCCAGCTGGCGTTTCCACACTTTTAAAAACTGGAGCATTTGTGATTTAATCACCACGGTACAGGCTTTCAGAAGAGTAAGTACCAGTAGGTCTTTCAGTGGAGCAGATGCTGATTTTAAGTTGCTGCCTGCTGGTTGGTGATAGCTTAATAATCACAGAGCAGGGCAGGGGCAGGATACAAGCAGCACATCTGATCTGCCGAGGGCTTATTGAGTTGTGTCACGGAAAAACTTCTAAACATGCCTGCTTGTTGGTGAGGATGCCGTTGAGCCTGATTTGTTTGTGGTAGGCCTCTTGCTTTGGCTTCACTGGCGGCCTTTCGTTTTGCAGTGGGACCCCATGATCACCACGCTGCCTGGCCTCTACCTGCTGTCGGTCGGGGTGGTCAAACCCGCCCGTTGGATCTTCGGATGGTCGGAACACGTCGTCTGCTCCATTGGAATGCTCAGATTTGTCAATCTTCTCTTCAGTGTTGGCAACTTCTACTTACTCTACTTGCTTTTTCGCAAGGTACAACCCAGACACAAGGTATGCTTTCAAAATATTTTACTATACGTTTATATGTACTCAGCTCCACAGTTACGATGAATTGGTTTTATGAGGTTTGGCGGAAAATGTCTTTGACACTTAGTTTTTTGTGTATATTTTGTAAAGATAAAGTAAGACACCCCACCTCCATTTTAGAATAAATTTTTATTTAAATATTTTAATAACTTGTCCTATATAATAAAGGGGTAATATACAAATCAACCCTAATGGTGAATGACCCATTGTTATGACACGCACTGACCACAGGGAGCAGACACTCAACACAGGAACTGCCCCCTGGTGGTCATTTCACTCCTACAAGGGGAGTTCCGCTCAGTCACAAGCTGGGCTGAGGGCTGCAAACACATGGGTGGTGGCAGGAGCCTCTCCTGCTGCCTCTGAGGCAGTGCTAAGGATGTCTGGCTGTGGCTTAGGCCTAAGCTGGCAGACGGACATCCCCCCAAGGATTCCTTGGCTGCCAAAGGGATGTCTGACTGCCAGCTTAGGCCTGATTCCCCCACGGAACGGGCCTGAGCTGACAGGTGGACCTCACCGAGGGGTCCCAGACTGAGAGGGCATAGGCAGGGCTGAGGGGACCCCCACCAGCACCCCCCATTCAGTGCATGAATTTTCATGCACTGGGCCATAGTTGATTTATAAAAACTAAATGTGGTTTGTTTGTTTTTTCCCCCCACAAATCAAACCATTTCAGTTAATATTTATTGAACTTACTCCATGTGCTTGTCATTGAAACTGCAGAGGTAAAGGAGGTGATCATTTTCTTAAGAAAGCTGTATTTTCGTTAGGAGAAATGGACTTTACCTGAGGAATTTTTATGTGATTTAATGCATTCCCTGGAGGTGAAATGGCTGGGTTTGAATTCGTCCACTTACCAATTATGTTAATTAAACCAGGTTACCACTCAGTGACTCCAACTCTTCATCTGTTAAATGGGGATAATATACAATCTATCTTTGTATATTATCTATTAGGGCTGTTTTGAAGAATAAAGGAGATTTAATAGTGGAAGATGCCTAGAATAGTGCCTGATGTAATGTTAAGGACTCAATAAATATTGATTACAACAGTTAATTTTAACTTAAAGAGATTATTTCAATCGTGTAAGTTATTAGCGGGGGATAAGTGTAAGACACTTCAGATACAGAGAAGGAGCGGAGATCACAGCAGCCCTGGGAAGGGAGGGTGTGGTGGTACTGGGTAAGGCTTCAGAGAGAAGATGGTACCAAAGCTGAACCTTGAGGTACAGATAGGGCTTTAGGGTTGGGAATGAATCCTGGCAGGAGGAGCATAAGCACAGTAGAAGGCATGAGCAACAGATGCAGGGAGTTGGTGTTTGGAATTAGAGAATTACTATAGCGTGGACCCCTGAGGCTGGAGAAGTAGGTAGGGTGAAGTCATAAATGTCCTTAAAAGGCATGGGAAGGAATTTGAACGTCAATAGGTGATGGAGAGCCCTTCATTTTAATCAAGGCACTGGCGTGGTTTGGCTTTGTGATGTAGAGTAGATGAAGGCTACGCTCTGACCAGCTGGCCTAGTTGGTCAGTTGGTTGGAACATTGTCCCCTGCTCTGCAAGACTGCAGGTTTGATTCCCAGTCAGTGCCCATATGAGAGGAACCTATTGAGGTTTCTCTCTCATCAGTGTTCTATCTCTCCCTTTTCTCTCTCTAAAAATTAATATAAACATATTTAAATGTTTATTGTATCTCTACCAACCCAGAAATAATATTGAATGATTTTATTTAAATATGACTCATGTAGTTTTGTATTTTTTAAAAAGTCTCTTCATTATCTCCACAGAAAAAGCATACCGTATTTTCCGGCATATAAGACGACCCCCTAATTTTACAGTTAAAACATAGGTTTAGGCCTATATTCGCTGTATAAGACTACCCCCCACTTCAAAGAAAAGACTTACTTTGCTGTCAAGATCTGCAGGTAATTTTTGTGCAATTTTGGTCTTTTGCCCCCGATTTTCGGTTGACTTTTTTTCGTTTCAAAAGTCGTCTTATACGCCGGAAAATACGGTATTTGTTTTATCATGAAAATAAGTTTAACTGTGATTTCTCTTTCTCCTAGGCCGGCTCCAGTGCCCAGAGAATCTTGTCAACATTAACCCTCGCAGTATTTCCTACGCTCTATTTCTTTAACTTCCTTTACTACACAGAAGCAGGATCCATGTTTTTCACTCTTTTTGCCTATTTGATGTGTCTTTATGGGAATCATAAAACGTCCGCCTTGCTTGGGTTTTGTGGCTTCATGTTTCGTCAGACGAACATTGTCTGGGCTGTCTTCTGCGCCGGGAACGTCATCGCACAGAAGTTAGCGGAAGCTTGGAAGACTGAGATGCAAAAGAAGAAGGAAGAGAGGCTTCCCCCAATCAAAGGACCGTTTTCAGAATTCAGGAAAATTCTGCAGTTTCTCTTGGTTTACTCCATGTCCTTTAAGAACCTGAGTGCGCTTTTCATCTTGACGTGGCCGTACACCCTCCTCCTGTTCCTGTTTTGTGCTTTCGTGGCAGTTAACGGCGGGATCGTGGTTGGCGATCGGAGCAGCCATGAAGTCTGCCTGCATTTCCCCCAGCTCTTCTACTTTTTCTCTTTCACTCTCTTTTTTTCCTTCCCTCACTTACTGTCTCCTAGCAAGGTGAAAGCTTTCCTTTGCCTAGTTTGGAAACGTAGAATTCAGTTTTTTGTGCTCACTCTAGTCTCTGTATTTTTAATTTGGAAATTCACTTACGTTCACAAATACTTATTAGCAGATAACAGGCACTACACATTCTATGTGTGGAGAAGAGTTATCCAAAGATATGAAATTGTGAAATATTTGCTAGTTCCCGTCTATATATTTGCTGGTTGGAGTATAACTGACTCACTGAAGTCAAAGTCTGTTTTCTGGAACTTAATGTTTTTCATATGCTTATTTGCTGTGATAGTACCTCAGAAACTGCTCGAATTTCGTTACTTTATTTTACCTTACGTTATTTATAGGCTTAACATACCTCTGCCCCCAATATCTAGACTTGTTTGTGAACTAGGTTGCTATGCAGTTGTTAATTTCATAACTTTTTACATCTTTCTGAACAAGACTTTCCAGTGGCCAGATAGTCAGGACACTCAGAGGTTTATGTGGTAAGATCACAGACACCTTGAACTCTAAAGTAGATTTCCACATTTCCACAGGAGCAACTGAACAGGTGAAAATTATGAACTTTCTTTTAGGCACAGTGTGATCCTCCGATCACTTCAGATGTTTTATTTTTAAACATCGGCTATATGTGTTTTAAACATATGTAACAAATCCAAGGGAATTAAGTGGTAAAAAACTTAGGAACATTTAAGACTTGCTCCATAAGCCTGAGCAATACTGGGATAATAAAATTGTTTACAATTATCTCATGATATCACTTTTGTACTGCTGGCCACTCAGAAAGCTTGGGAACTTTTTATAGATACAAGTTCTAAGAAAATTGGACATGCATTGTAATACTGGAACCTATGTATTAGTTCTCAAAAAGCAATAGTAGACAGAATATTTGAAAACTGATGCAAATGATTAGGTAATATTCTTGATTGAAAAGTTGCTTAACATTTCAGTAAATATAATTTTAATTATAAAGCAAAATAGACTCACATCGATAGTGTTAGACATTCCAGGCTCATGTTTTTCTACTCATGATTTAAATTACTGGTTTTGGTTAAAAATCTAGGAGTGATAAAACTCTTTCCCTAATTTTTAAAAAAATATATTTTATTGATTTTTTATAGAGAGGAAGGGAGAGAGATAGAGAGCTAGAAACATCGATGAGAGAGAAACATCGACCAGCTGCCTCCTGCACACCCCCTACTGGGGATGTGCCCGCAACCAAAGTACGTGCCCCTGACCGGAATCGAACCCGGGACCTTTCGGTCCGCAGACTGACGCTCTACCACTGAGCCAAACCGGCTTTGGCTTTCCCTAATTTCTATGTGAACTATGTGATGGCCACAGATACATTGTGTTGATGATAATACCTTTAAAGTGGGGTTTTCTTTTTGAAATATGTTACTGTACTAGTTTTCTGTGGTTGCCATAACAAATTACCACAAACTCGGTTGCTTAAAAATACTTCTCACAGTTCTGGAGGCCATAAATCTCAAATGATGGTGTCGGCAGTCATGGTTCCGTCTGGAGGCTCTGGGAGAACCATTCCCGTGGCTTCCAATGGCTCTGCAGTCCTTGCTGACCTCAGTCATAGATGTCCTCTCTCTGCCCTTGTCTTAACACAACTTTCCCAACTTGTCCCTTCTTTATCCTACATGGACAATGCTGATGGCCTCATGATGACAGTATTAATTCAGTTTTACCAACAGAGACCTTTTTTCCAAATAAGATCACGTTTACAGGTTCCAAGCAGACATGTCTTTTTGAGGGGCACTTGAACCCACTAAAGTTACCAAAGGAGATTTTAGGATGAATTTCATAAAAGTGTAGGATATCATTTCTTTGCTGAGATAGTTGAAATAAAATGTTAATCTTTACTGAGAGGTTAAAAACACTAACTTTCAAGGTCAAACATAAAACTAAAGGTAATTGGTATTTGATTCCATTATGTAAGAGAAGTTAGAATTGAAAGGAAGTTTAGAAATTATTTTACCTAATCTTATTTCATAGATTGGGGAACCACTGATCTAATCTTGTGTTTTGGTTTTTGGATTCTGTGTCTGCTATTTTGAGTACATTCATTTGAATATCATTCCATTACAGAAAAGTATTTGAACATGTTAACTCACATTTATACTTAGAACTGTGAATAGAATTCATCTTTTAACTCATGTTTGAAAACATTTTTAAATAGCTGTGTGAACCTATTTGTCTTAAATGATGATTAATGCTTTCTCTGAGTTTTAAGACTGAGTGGAATTGGAAAGTATTCTGTGTTTGCAAATATAAAACTGAATACAGGTGAAAATGACAAGTGTGCTGGAGCAATAAATAAAGAGCAGTCTTGTACTCTGCTCAGTACTTAGGAACTAGATCTACTTTTTAGTTGTAACAGTGATTGCAGTACAGATGTTCTTACCCAAACTGTTTGTTTTTTTAACTAGATAAGAAAGCACACTCAGAAATTATTATTATGACAATCTGAATTCCAAGGAGTGAAAATTAAAAAAGATATGTGTAATTTAGGAAAAATAGCTTTCTTGTCTGATACTATATATGAATGTGTTAAGGAATATTTCTGAGGCTGAAAAACGTTTCCTCAGGAAACCATTCCACCCCATAAACTGGGGGAATCACTGTTCCAGTTAATTTTTAAGTTCCTATTCTGTTAAAAGATGTTTGGGTAAAATCTACATTCAGAGAAAACAGGTTAATCTTAGTTTGTTTTTTGTTTTTTTCTATAAAGTACAGAAGTTTAGTACTTAACATTTTTTAAAAGAATGCTGTGAATTAGAAGGTGTTATAGAGCATTGTCCTTAGGTATATCCTAATTTATCTTTGTGTTCTGAACATTTTTCAGGAGATATCAAATAGATCTTTTTGACATGAAGTTTTAAAAAAATTGGACTTAATTTAATTTCTTGATTAAAAGGTAATAAAAAAAGAGTCTGTGGAGACTTGCAATTATTGGTATTAAAGTATAAAAGTAGGATTATGTTAAAGAATGTCAAATGGATTCAGTACCTGATATGCTTAGCCCCAGTAATAAATGTGTGAACTTTTTTCCTTCTGTGAAATTTCATAGCTGAGTATTATCTTTATATATCATATAGCATTAGTAGGGTTCCAGTATGCTATTTCCTCACAGATTATTTGTTTTCTATTAGTGGATGCCCAGAAGTCTTTTCTATTGCATCTGACTGTGTATTTAAATTCTTTGGGAACTGTGGTTCCTGAGGTCAAACATAGCATGTTATTTGGCAAGAGAAGTTTTGTTAGCTCTCTGGCCTCTTCCTCTTCTTCTTAAAGATATTTCTGAAATATGCTTAGTCTATTATAAGGTATCTTAATACAAAGAGTTTAATGCAATCTATTTTTATAAACAAGTAGCTTACTATAGTACATTTCTAGTTTGAGTTTAACTGCCATGAGAAGAGATCCTCAGTTTTTATTTATACCCCCAAATAGACGATTATATTAGGTACTTTTATTTATTTTTTTATTTTTAAATTACAGTTACATAGAATATTACTAGTTTCAGGTGTACAACCCCCTATTTAGACATTTATGTAACTTACAAAGTGATCGCTATAATAAATCTAGTATCCATCTGAACACACATATGCTTGTTACAATGTTATTGACTATATTCTCTATGCTGTAATTTACATCCTTGTGACCGTCTAACAGTTTGTACATTTTAAATCCCTTCACCTATTTCACCCAGCTTCCAAACCCCACTTCCTGTCTACAACCATCAAAATGTTCTCTGTATCTGTGTAGACTCACTTCTAAAATAAAATGTTCGTATAAAGAAATTCGTGTTCATTAAATTAGCATTTGTTATCTTTAAAGCAATTAGCATTTCATTAAAAAGTGTAACAGAAAGTATGAAAATAATATGAAACATTTTTTGTAACAGAAAATTAAACATGATTTAGGAACCATAGGCTTGTAGTAAGAGCATTTAGCATGGCAGTTGAGGTTTTTATATTCAACTGTGGTTTTGGAATCAATAAAGCAAGTGGTTTAACCTTTGGTTCTCATTTCAAGTGAGTAGAGTATTTGTCCTAACTCGGTGGTCGGCAAACTCAATAGCCAAATATCAACAGTACAACGATTGAAATTTCTTTTGAGAGCCAAATTTTTTAAACTTAAACTTCTAACGCCACTTCTTCAAAATAGACTCCACCAGGTCATGGTATTTTGTGGAAGAGCCACACTCAAGGGACCAAAGAGCCATATGTGACTTGTGAACTGCAGTTTGTTAACTGGTCAGTGCCTGGCCCATGTCTAGCCTTATTTCAAAAAGAATTCAGCCTCTGCCATATATCCAAAAAGTTCATAAGTAAATTATATAATAAATATTGAGTAAATGAATAATGAATGAGGTTTTTAGTAAAGTGAAAATCCTAGAAAAAATTACAACATTAGTTAATTTTAGGAAACGAATCACATTTCACAATGAGAGTCAACCTACATTTTTTTCTGCCTAAATTTTCTGACTTAGTTTGAAATTTTTTCTTTACCATAGTGCCTAATAAATATACTAGAAGCCCCCCCCCCAAGCGCTCCCTACCTGCCCGCCCGCTGGCTGCCAGCCCTGCTGCCAATGGAGCCTGTGGGCAGGGCTGCAGCTGCATGAGCCGCAAGCCCCGCCCTGCTGCTGTGAGTGGCTCAGGCGGGGAGGAGGCACCACGAGGTGCCCACGTACCTCCGGGTGACTGGTCTTGGTCACCAGCATTACAGCCATAGGCCTTTTATAATATAGATAAATATTTCAAAATTATTGCTATTTGAAGAAAAATAACTTTCAACCATTAAATTAGTAGAACATGTTTATTAGGTTTTTAAGGAAAAAGAATTTTCAATCAATTAGGACTACTAGATATTTTAGGCTTAATTTTACTACTTTAGGGATAACAATTTTATTTAAGGTACGTTTTCTGTATTGACAAGACAAACATTTTTAATATGCTAAAACTTGTATAGCTTAGAAAATTCTAATAAAAAGGGATATATTGAAGTTACGTTTTTAAAATTTATCCATGAATCCAACACTAAATTCTTTAAGGTTTGGAAATCACTTCTAGGGTAAGAAATTTTGTCACAAGTAATCTTATCTAATAAAAGTAATATGCAAATTGACCATGCCTCCACTATACCCACAAGCCACACCAACCAGCCAATCAAAGCGAGTATGCAAATTTACCCCAACCAAGATGGCTGCGGTCACAGAGAGCAGGAGGGAGGCTTGAGTTTCCCAGGCAATGGAGGAAGCCAAATTTCCCACCTGCCCTTGCTGGCCTAAGCCTTGATTCAAGGCTACAAAGTTTCAATTATAGAAGGTAAACAAATCCAAACAAATGGCGGCAGCCACAGAGCAAGCAGAAGGCTTGGCTCTGCTTCAGGCTACAAAGTTTCAATTGTAGAAGGTAAATAAATTTCAGATATCAGGGCCTCTGCTTGAGTTGCTAGGGGACATGGCTGGC